CTGAAATTATACGAACATTTAGAATTATTGAATAGGCGAGTATTGTATTATGATACAGATTCCTGCATATATATAAGTACAGGCAATCCGAACGAGTACGAGCCATATATGGGAAATTTTTTGGGGGATATGACCGACGAACTCGAGAGCTACGGCCGCGGTAGTTATATCGAGTCGTTCGTGTCGGCTGGCCCGAAATTCTATGCGTACGTTGTTCGTACACCGGAAGATCGCCTGCATGAAATTTGTAAAGTAAAAGGAATAACGCTTAAGAACTTGCTTAGAGCTGAGGAGCTCTAGGTGGTATAAATTGCCAGTTAATCCCTTTGGAAGAGGCGAAGTCCATAATTTGTTGTTGAGATCGTTGTTCTCTAAATAATGTTGCCAATTCGTTCATTTCCCTATTGGCACCTTTAAAATTTAGACCGTTATCAGAATAAATGGTGGAAGGAAATCCTCTTCTGGAAGTGAAGCGTTTCAAAACGTTTAGAAATACCTCAGTGGATAAATCAGTTGCCAGTTCAATGTGAACCGCTGTAGAAGCAAGACAAACAAATATTGCGATGTAGCACTTTAAAAGTTTGGCTCCCTTTCTAGATCCGTCCTTGTAAAAGGGGCCGGCGTAGTCCACTCCACATTTTTCAAATGGTCGTTCCGGGGTTGTGATTCTGTTTTTAGGTAGATTACCCATAAGTGTTGAAGTTGTCACTGGAGAGATCCGGAAGCAGGTGACGCACTTGCGTATGGTTTGCCGAACAATGTCTCTAGCTGAAATGAGCCAATAATTCTGTCGAATAGCGGCTAAGGTAGCTTGAGGGCCTGCGTGAAAATGCCTTTTGTGTTCATGTATAATGATTAATTGAGAAAGCGGATGGTGCCCTGGTAGCAATGCTGGGTATTTAGCATTATAGGGAAGGTGAGATAGCTTGAATCTCCCTCCAACTCTTAGGATTCCAGAATCATCTATAAAGGGATTTAAACGCAGGAGAGAACTAGTTTTACTTATGTTTTGTTGATTTGAAAGTAATTTTAGTTCATTCTTAAAGTACGATTTTTGGACCATCTTTACAAGGACTTGTTTAGCGTGATGTATTTCGTCAGGTAAGATGGACAGGGTTGTACCAAGTGTTAATTGTGATGTTGCGCTGGGTTTAACCTTGAACCTTAGTTTGTGGAAAAATCTGAGAATGTAAGCTACTACTCGTGATAGCTTGGTGAAGCTTGAATATCGTTCGAACAGTTCAGAGGTTGACTGCGTTGTAGCAGTAGCGGCGATGGTTTTGGATTTGAATTCAGGAATATCTTGTCTTCTTATGTTGAGTGGGGCGATGGGCCAATGCGCCTTGTCGAGTTTTAGCCAAGTGGGGCCTGACCACCAGAGCTGCGATTTTGTTAATTGATCTGGAGAGATTCCTCTTGAAAGGAGATCAGCAGGGTTATACTTACCATTAACGTGGTGCCAATCTTGTACGGCAGTTAATTGATGGATTTGTCCAACACGATTTGCCACAAATGATGTCCAAGTCCGACTGGATGATTGTAGCCATGCAAGAACGATAGTGGAGTCAGTCCACCAATGTACAGCATGTATTTTGTGATTTATGCATTTTGAAACCTTATCAAAGATTTGTGCCAGTAGAAGTGCGGCACATAATTCAAGTCTGGGAATAGATAAAGCTTTTAGTGGGACGACTCGATTTTTTGAGCAAAGTAAAGTTGTGGAATGAGTACCATTAGAGTCAGTAGCACGTATGTAAATGCATGCTCCGTAGGCGAGCTCACTGGCATCGGCGAAGCCGTGTAGTTCCAGGATAATGTATTCATCCAGCAAGATGACTCGACGTGGTATGGTTATGTTACTTAAACTTGATAACCCAGATTCATATTGTCTCCATTTTGTAACCAGATTTAACGGGAGAGATTCGTCCCATTCTAGTCCAAGACGCCAAAGATTCTGCATGATTATTTTTGCAATAACGGTGGCGGGTCCGAGCAATCCTAGAGGGTCAAATACTAATGCGACTTTTGATAATATTCTTCTTTTAGTTGGTGAAGCTTGAGGCGGTAAGCAGATGATGCTTGAGAATTTGAAATGATCGGTGTTGCAGTTCCAACCGAGACCTAAGGTTCGTGTCTCGCATTCTTTGTCGCAAGACAATACGAACTCCTTATCGTTCTGTACAGATGGATTGTCTCGTATCATTGGTACGTTAGAAGACCATTTTCTTAGTTCGAAATGTCCTTCCAAAAGTAGCTGAGAGGTTTCAGCCTTTATGTTTGATACTTCTTGTAAAGTATCTACGCCCGTTACTAGGTCATCGACGTAGAAGGCGTTCAGTACTGCTTTGGCACCGATGGGATATTTTAAGATGTTGTCTTCTGCCAATTTTCTGAGGGATCGAATTGCTAAGAAAGCTGCAGAGGCCATACCATATGTGACGGTGAGTAATTCGAAAGTGCGAATAGGCTCATCCATGGAGTCGCGCCAGAATATGCGCTGAAGAGATGTTTGATCGGAGTTGATTAGCACTTGCCGATACATTTGCTTGATGTCCGCTGTTAGGGCATATTTGAACATGCGGAATCTAAGTAATATTGAGAACAGATCGGCTTGTATAGTAGGGCCGACGATTAAGGCATCGTTTAACGATACTCCGGTTGATGATTTGCAAGAACCGTCGAACACGACCCTAAGCTTGGTGGTGGTGCGTGTTTCTTTGCATACCGCATGATGCGGCAGGTAATAAATTTCGTCATTGGACTTCGTAGGGAATGTTACTTCACGCATATGTCCCAATCGCAAGTATTCTTGCATGAATTGTTTATAATCCGAGTACATTTTTGGATCTTTTATAAGGCGTCTTTCCAAAGATTTGAAATGTCGCATGGCTACCTCCTTGGAATTCCCAATTTGTTTTAGCTTGTCTGGTTTTATAGGCAATTGAACCACAAAGCGTCCTTCGCAATTGCGCGTTGTAGTTTCTTTGAATAGACGTTCGCAGGCTTGCTCTTCTGGTGAAGCTTCAGTAGGGAACGTCATCTGATCGACTTCCCAAAATCTGCAAAGGACTCGATTAAGCTCTTCTGTTGTGGTGGTTAGGCAGCTGACAGCTGAAGAAGGTGATTTGTTGGCGTTTGTTGTTGGACCAGACACAATTCATCCTAGGAGGGTTTTTTGTAGAGTAGGTTGATTTTTGGAAACTTGAATTTGGCCAGCGGAGATGAGCCTCCAAAATAATTCCGCCCCGATTAGCATGTCTATATGTTCTGGAACATTGAAGCTTGGGTCGGCCATTTTTAGATGATTTGGTATTGATAAGTTGTGTTTTGAAATGTAATGTTGAGGTAATCGTTGGGTAATTTGTGGCAGAACTATGCAATCTAAATTTTCAGTAAAATTATTAAAACGAGATTTGATACATACATTGATCATAGTTTTAGCTTGAACCATATTTTTAACTACGCTAGAAACTGAAATATTGATTGATTGTCTTTTAACGCCTAACTTATCTGCTAGTTCCTGCGTTATAAAATTTAGCTGTGATCCGCTGTCTAACAATGCGCGACAAGAGTGTAACTCGTTTTTGTAATCGAAGACGTGAATGATAGCGGTTGATAATATAATATTTAAAGAGCGCTGTGTTGACAAACACTGAGTAACGATCGGTTGTATAGAATTTTCTTTTTCAGAATTGAGTTCAGAATTAGGCACGGATGGTTTATCGTGGTCTGTTGAATTTGATAAATGGAGAAGCGTATTGTGCTTCTTTTTGCACTTGCGGCAAGCGCTCGAATTACAATCCTTAGCGTTATGAGAATTAGATCTTAAGCAATTCGCGCATAGATGAGCTCTCTTTACTACAGAAATTCTCTTTTCTATTGGCAATTTAAGAAATGATTTGCAATAATACAAAGGATGAGTTTCTTTGCATTGGGGACACGATAAATCAGATGTGGCGATATTTGTGACTGAGGCACTCTTTGGCCTTGTTCCAAATTTTGGAGTGTTGGTAGATTGATTAATTGACATTTTGCTAAAGATCAATTCGAGCGCCTGGCAACGCTTAGAAAGAAATTCAGTTAAAGTTTTTAGATTCGGAGGATCATTGGTGGGAAGACTAGTCTCCCATGCCTTGCTTGTTACTGAATCTAATTTTGACAAGATTATGTGGACGATCAGGTCATCCCAGGTCTCAGTGGGCCTTTTCAATGCTTTAAGCGCGCGCAAATGCTTTGAGATGGTATCCAGTAACTCACGCAGTTGAGAATGATTTTCTTTGAGTAATGAGGGAGCTTCGAATATTGCTCTGATGTGCTTTTGGATTATCCAGTGTTTGTTATCAAAACGTTCTTTGACGGCGTCCCAGGCGTCCTTGTAATTGTCAGTGGTTGTTTCGATCGATTTTATAATTTCAGAGGCCTTGTCTTTGAGTGATGAACGTAAATAGTGGAATTTTTCTATTTCCGTTAAGCTGTTATTGGCATGTATCAGCTTCTCGAAAGTATCCTGATAAGTGTACCAATCCTCGAAGTCACCTGTAAAAACTGGAAGTTCAATTTTAGGTAGTTTAATGTGCGATTCCCTGGTTGTTGGAGCGCGTGTTTGGAGTTCATCATTTTGCTGTTGCGACGAGAGTACTGGATTGCGTTGATCAAAGTATTCGATAAGTGAATCACAACGCGAGATTATACTAAAATATATATTTTCGAATTGTGATCTGTGCTGTTGTTGTTGAGCAAGAAGCTCATCTTTATTTGTAAGCGATGGATCTTGAAATTCAAGTAGCTCTATGCGCGATTGTACTATGTCAAATAGATTCCATAATTCTGTTAATCTTTTTTTACGCTCAGTGATGTCGTGTCGCGAGCCATTTGTTACCTCGAAATTTTCTATAGCAGTTTTGTGTCGTGTGAGTGAGGCTTTGGCAGTGGTTCGTTTGGTTTTAGCTTCTAATAATGACATCGAATCCATTTTTTGAGGTTACGTGGTTATCAATAAGCTAAGTTGATGCAAAGATATGACAAGGAGATCACGCGCATGCACAATATATGTGTTATACTGTAAGTTTTGTTTCTACGAGATAACAATATGGTTGCTCAATTGCTGAGAGTATATGTTAAATATGGCTTTCTTACCTTGAATGATTTGAACTGGATTTTATGAAAAAAAAAACGATCTTACCCCATTAGACTATGTGTAGGCCTTATTGTTGTAATGTTTTAACGATGACCTTTTGTGTGTAGAAGTTTAGCGAGATGCTGAATGGTATTCGTGTGTTTCAGAAAATCTTATATCCGGCTCGAAGGACCAATTTTTGTTGTGGCGACTTGTGCCGCTGCGTATGTGTACGCAAGTTCCTTGTTGTTATACAGATTTATGATACCTGTGTTTTCTTTTATGCCTTGTGAGAGCTTCTCACTTTGTTTGTAAGATGGAATGAATGATAAAAGGTACGCCTCGTATAATAACTCTGATATATTTCTAATGTCTCGTGTTATACATCGCATGAAGACGTTCAGAGAGAAAGATACAGACATAAGAAAGCGGGAAAAACTATATCTATCTCGTAGCAGTGAGAGAAACCTTAAAGCTAGAAATTCTCCAATGGTCAGACGCGAGCACCATTGGTTAGCAGCAAGGCATGGGTTATGAGAATAACTATAAGGGACAAAGGTGGCGCGCACACTTAGTAATGCCCAGTAATGCCCACTAATGTTTAGTAATGCCCACTACTGCTCGGTAATTTCTACTGATTCTCAAGTAATGCCCCAAGTAACACTCGGGTAACACACAATAATTATTTATTCATATATTCAACACTTATTAATTAATTGGCCTTTCTCTCTCACTCTCGCATACACTCGCGCATTCACCCGATCTCCTCTATTCCGCTCTCTCTTCAACTTTTAATCATGCGATATGTCGCGTCGTGTCGCTCTCGCGATCTAAGATGGCTGCTACACAAAATGGCTGCCTATTTCACTTTACGTGATGACGCGATATTGCGTCATGCCTACTACGCACTTTATTCCGCGCGTTAGCTTCGGCTAATTAATCATATCATACGCTTTCGCACTTCGCGATATTACTTAGAAGAGTGGAAACTACTTCCGGATTTAGTTACGACGCGTCTTACCGACTTTGCGCGAACACTTTACGTAAAACCGGGAAAAACTTATTAATTCGCGTATTTCGCGATATATCCGCATTCGGCGATTGTTAATATAATTATTCCAATCCGTAGTCATGTAATTATACGCGTGGTTAACACTCGGTATCGAAACAAAGAAAAATTCGAGCCGCGCCGTTCTATACGTCCGTCCCGTTAGGCGGTCCTGCTGCGACTAACGTAGAAGATGGCTGCCTCCATGGTGTAATAAGACAAGGTGTAACATTGCGCATAATGGCGGTGGCATAATAGAACAACCAATCATATTTGGGTCCAAATGCAACCGCGAAATTTGAATACGACATTATGAATTTAATGAAATAAATAACATAAAATCATAAAATCACGATTTTCAATAAAGTACAACATAAATATATCTGAAATAATAAAAGTTGAGTAAAAAATTACTCCGCAAATAGCCAGTTCGCGTAACGTAACACGGTAGTGTCGCTGCTCTTGGTCTTAGCGTCGAGACACTACCG